AAAAAAAAAAAAGGGGAAAAAGTGAAAGGGGGGGGGGGGGGGGTGTAACCAAAGGGAGGAAAAGGGGACATCAAGAGAGAGAAAATGCAAGAAAGAAGACCAAGCCTGAACATAAAGGAACGAACCATCGACCTAGGAACCAGTTCCAATTCCCTGTGCTCTGAGGAATCAGCAAACAGATCTCAGTAAAACCAGGTTTGGGAAAAGGCCTCTGTTCGGTCCCTTAAAGCTGCCATCAAGTTTTCCATCTCCCTAATCTCAGACACTCTGTTGAGACAGTGAACAGTTGTCGGGAGGGGGGGCAGATTGCTTCCAAACACTAGGGATACATGCTCGAGCCGCACTCAACAAGTGCCGCAGAAGCGATTTGTCATACCTCTTCCTGGACATCGAAGTTAAGTTCAAGAGAACCGCTGCGGGATTATCAGTTAATGAGAAGACCGTCGATTGGTGAACCACCCCTTGAACCTGGTTCCAGAAGGGACAGATTCGTGAACACTCCCAAAAAATATGCAATAAGGTGCCCGTGTGACTATGACAGCGCCAACAACGATCCGATTGTTGTTGATAGAATTTTGAGAGGACAAAGGGCGTCTCATACCAGCGGGTCATGATCTTATAAGTCGTCTCGTCTCCTGATATCTGTTTACATATGGACGCTTTATGAGCAAAGAACACAATCCTGTCAAGCTGTGCCTTGGAGAACGTAATTTGGAGATCTCTCTCCCATTTACGAAGGAAATATAAATTCGAGACAGGTAAAGTGTTTAATAGCAATTTATAGGCCAATGAGAGCGGGACGCGAACCATGCCCCCACTCCCACACAACTCCTCAAATGCAGTACGCGGTCTATGGAACCGAGTTGCATGAGGTAGGGATCTCAGAAAGTAGGAGAATTGTAGGGATCGCCAGGGGTCCAAACTAGGAACATAGCATTCCTCTATAAGTGTCACGATCCAGCAAAGGGTACCGGACTGGATCACAGCTGCGGAACTGTTAGGGAGAGGGCCTATGGGAATGGATCAGTTTAGACGGTTCCCAAATACACCAAGTGTGAGAGGGAACTGTTCCACATCATGTATCCCAGGCCGTTAAGAAGCAGGGCGTAGTACCAGGGTGAATATGGGGTTTTGTCAGACTACCCACGGGGCGTGATGGGACTGTAGTTTCCTAATGGTGGTGTAGTAGCAGAGTTCCACTTTAACTTTGCAATCGCTAACGTAGCAGTACAAGCTGTATCTATTTTACCAGCAGTATGTTATAAGACAACTTCAACATCAGCCACTGGACAATCCTATTAAGCAGTTCCAGCCTATAGTTATTTAAGTATCCCACAAGCAGGTGTAATCACTATGGTTAGCAGTACAAGCAGTTCTCTTTAGCAGTATGTACTTTAAGCAGGCAGTATCCCACAAGCAGATGCAATCACTATGGTTTAGCAGCACAATCAGTTCTCTCTTTAGCAGCAAGTTATTTAAGCAGGTAGTATGCCACAAGCAGATGAAATCACTTTGGTTTAGTAGTACAAGCAGTTCATATGCACATATAATGTGCCCCAATACTTGCGGTTGGGCTGGTTGTGGAGGGGAGACCCTTTCGTCCTGCAGGGTTCAGAGGCTGGTTAGGAGGAGGCTGAGTGGTGGATTGGAGGATGCTGCGTGATTGGTTGGAGGAGGCTGAGTGTTGGAATGGATTGGACATCCACAGCAGAACGAGATATCCCGGGTCTCTAGGGTTCAGTGGTATGCACGGAGACAACGCTCGACGTTCCACATTGACAGAACGCCGAATGTGTGTCTCCGCAGCCATTATAAGGGAAAGCCGCGGTCAGGGGGCGTGACCCCGCGTGATGTCACGGCAGAGGCGACGCGGCGCTGAAGGGGGCGGAAGCGCCGGGCACGACCCTGACAATAAGTGTAGATACAGTTTTCCAACAGCCATCATGAAGAAACTGAAAGGCACCATCTAGTCCGTTCACCCGCCAATTACGGAAGATCTTGTCGGTGAAACCAGGGACGAATGCTGGCTGACCCATGATTGGAGTCAAGGGGGATGGAAAATAGGATATAGCACACATTGCATAATATTTGTGTACCGCAAAAATGGTAGGACCAGCAAGTGGATGTTGAAGTAAAGAGGTAAGAAAACGTGAGTCTAACCACGGTGCCCCCTGAAGCAGGAAATACACAGTCTCCTGCTCTATATTGACCCACAATTTGACTCCATCATGCCTGCACCAGTCCCCTACTCATGCCAAGTGAGTGGCAATGTAGTAGAATTTCGGGTCTGGGAAACCAATGCCTCCCTGTGATTTGGCACGTTGCAGTATGTCTCTTCCGATCCTGGCTGATTTACCTTGCCATATAAACTGAATAAAAGCTGAACAAATGGAACGCTGGGGCACACGGACAGGTAAGGTTTGGAAAAGATACAATAAACGGGGCATGACATTCATTTTCAAAAGATCCGACGGAATAAACGTACCCAGATAGTGTATGGCCTGAGTCGCCCATTTAAAGGTGAAATTAGATTGGAGTAGTCTAAAAAGCGGAGTAGGCAAAGACACATTCAGCGCTTCCAATTTTTGTAAGTTAACTTCAGGTTGGAGCCAAAAATCTGCAATTCCAAGAGTAGGCTTGGTAAGGACATGTGGGGTTGAGTTATGTAGAAAGAAGGTCATCGGCATATGCCGCCAGTTTGTGGTGGGTCCCCCCCCACTCTCAGTCCCTGGATATCCGGATTCCTCCGCACGTGACAAATAAATGGTTCCAAGGTAATTATAAAAATCAGGAGGGAGAGGGGGCAACCCTGATGTGTGCCACTCGTAATAGAAAATGGGGAGAAATGATGGCCATTAATCCTAACCGTCGGTGAAGGATTAAACCCCCAATCCACATCTGCAATTGCAAGGTGGAGGCCCACATGCGAGAGAACCCGACAAAGGAAATCCTATGACACCCTGTCAAACGATTTTTCTGCGTCTGCGGACATCAGCATCATGTGAGTCCCCATCACTTGGCCCAATGAATTAGATCAATGGTATGGATAGTGTTGTCCCGGGCCTCCCAATGTCACTCAATGGAGCAGAAAGAAAATAGAATTTTTGTACTTACCGTAAAATCCTTTTCTTCAGGTCCATTGAGGGATACAGGCCTTCCTCTGTGTTTAGGATCATGCTCCCAGTACTGCTTTGCTACTAACCTGAAGCATGCTGTGGTAGTAGTAGGGGTTTTCCTGGGCTGACCTACAGTTTTGATTGCCAGTGTCAAAACCACCTGTTGGCAGCAGTACAACCTGAGGGTTTAAGACTTCCTGTGTCCCTCAGTGGACTCTGTCGGGAAACCCAAATTCAGGGGTTTCAATAACGTTGACTGTTGAGGCCACATTAAAAAGTAAATGTATTTATTTTACATGCATTACATGGAGAGCATAACATACAGCGTATTGGAATCTACATTGCTCTGGCTGGCTATGGTCCTAAATACAGCATATATAGGGTCTGAGTTGGGTGGGAACCTGGCTATCTATGTCATTTGAAGTGTAAATCTTCTTTCTGATGGTATTTGCAGAGGTGACGAACACGTGTTGTTTACGATTCTTCTAAAACAATAGCTGTTGTGCACAGGAACCAATTTCCTTGTAAATAGTTTTGAAGAGGCATTCTTGGGTGGTCATCACATACGATAAATGCAGGAGGTTAGGCAATACTTGATTGAACCAAGATATGTTATAAATGAAATGGCTGTTCCAATTTCCCCCTCAGTCCCTCCTCTTGGCCATTATACTGGCAACACAACTGTTCCTACCTAAAAGAAAAGAGTTTGGAAACATATCACTGCTATATCAAGCAATCCACACACTAGTTGTAGCGAACAGTTGGGTCAGAGACCATTAACAGTGTAGAGGTTTCGACTCTACTCTCCCTGTGCATTAGAACCCCATCATAGTTACTCTTGATAACTTGATGTGGGTTTTGGAGGTGCTGATATTGGGAAGGTGGAAGACGCCTTGGATTACTAGTTCTTATAAAACATATAAAATGTAGTTTGAAGAAGGCAGATAAAAACGATATAGTCAATTTGCAATCCCTGCCATCCCTCTCTAAATTCCCGTGATTCTCCCTTTAGCTTCCTAATCTTTTTTCTTTCTAATCTATTTTTGCCTTTTTTACCTTTTTTACCTAATTTACCTCTGCAGAAAAATCTCACTTGGCTTTGTCATGGCTGAAAAATGCAAAATAATAAATAATACTTGTAACAAAAAGACTAAGATCAAAAAGTCTAATAAAAATGACGTGTTAACAATGATGGGCTAACAGTTTATGAACACCAAGTCTTTCTTCAACCCTTCTGGTGCATCTCCCGCAGGGTTTCATTGTACTGGCATCAGAGCCATTTACATCCAGGATTAAGCAAGGTCATAGCTTGGGTCAGGAGCGAACTGAGCAATCGGGTCAGAGGGCCCGCGGCCATCAGGGGGCCCGTCACCGACACCCCCCGTCCGCCGCCGCCTCTTTGCCACCTGCACCCGCCAGCCCCCCGCATCAGATGCCGTTCTGTAATCGTCGGCCTCGGTATGCGATCGGGGCTGGCTGGATCAGGCAGACGCAGCCCTCTAATCAGGCATTGTAGAGGGCCGCCTGCTAGGGCCTCCCGAGGACCCCCTTGAGGAGTGAGCGGCCGACGATTACAGAGCCGCATCTGATGCGGGCGGGCTGACCGGGTGGCAGAGAGGCAGCGGAGGGAGGGAGCCAATGCAGCAGACCCCCCACAACCAGGGTCCAGGGAGCCCCCACTGACCACCAGGGTAAGGTGGTAACATTTAAAAAATAAAATAACATAAAATAAAACATTTAAAAAAAAAATTCACTTGATCCCTGGATCCACTGACAAGCGCAGCCTCCCACGCTGTCAGAAGCTGCATACAGAGCGTGCTGGTTACTGTTTAAACCAGTGGGTGCTGTATGCCGCTTCTGAGAAGACATGCTATTAGCATAGCGGGAGCTATGCAAAATACGTAGCCGGCTTCCCCGTTACGCTAATAGCCTATCTTCTCAGAAGCTGCACACAGCGTGCCGGTTTAAGTAGTAACCAGCATGCTATGTATGCAGCTTCTGACAGCGTGGGAGACGGGAGGCTGCACCTGTCGGTGGATCCAGGGATCAGGTGAGTATTAAAAAAATGTTTTATTTTATGTTCCCAGGGACATTTCCGGGGACATAATTTGTCCGGGGACGATCTCCTCAATCCGGGGACTGGCCACCAGGGAGACCCCACTGGCCACCAGGCAGCCACCACTAACCACCAGCAAGCCCCCACTGGCCACAGTGGAGCCCCCATTACCCACCTGGGAGCTACCACAGGGCCCCCACTAATTATCAGGGAGCTCCCACTAGCCATCACAGATCCCGCACTGACCAGAAGAGATCCCACACTGACCAACAGAGAGCCCGCACTGACCGCCTGACAGTACACATTGGCCACCTGAAAGCCTAATTAAGGGAGCTGCCTCTGCTGCACCCACACACACCTGTGAAAATCTCTGGAACCCTGGTGAGAGCCTGCACAGCCCACCTGAGAGCTCACACTGGCCACCTGAGAGCCCGCACAACCTCCTGAGAGCCCGCACAACCCTCCTGAGATCCTGGAGACATCACACGGCGAACCCGAAGCAACATAGAGTATGTAGCTTCATATTATTCTGCATTGCTGTAATATGTATTGCTGAGATTTGTAATCCTCTATAGCCAATGCCATTCTGCAATTCTGTACAATGTATTTCTGAGATTTATAGTCCTCTATAGCTGGTGGTATTATTCTGCATTGCTGTATAATTTTCTGAGATTTGTAGTCCCTCTACAGCTTGGAGTTAGTGGCAGAACCACCAGAGTGGCAGCAGTCGTACACGCGCACTGCACTGACGAGGCATACCTCCACTACCAGTGTGCTATAATTTTCCTCGACCTACAAATTTCTCTACCGCGTCTCTTCCAGGAGAGCATGTCATGAAGAAAGGTGGTCATGAAAACATCTGATTCGGATGACGTGGCCCCACCATAAGTGACACAGTCGAGAAAATGTATAGGGTTGAGTTAAATTATAGAACACTGACTTTGACACTGTGCGGCCCCTCCCACTATCCTCCCACAGCACACAGCCCAGAAGCATGGACAGCCAGTGGCGTCTACAGTGGGTGAGAGTGCCTAAGTACCGGACATGGAGCGGTGTAAGGCAAGAACCATGTAGGGAGCCTAGTGGGAGGAGAGCACCATCCCCCAGCCAGTCACCCCTTTCATGGACTTAGTGAGTCCTCACATCACCCTAACATTCACACTAGTGTTACATGGATGGCAAAAGTGGCAGGCAGGCGGGGGAAGAGACAGAGCAGGAGGGGGGCCAAGTTGCTGCACCATGGGCCTCTGGGTTGTACTTGCCCCTTGGCTAAAAGTATTCCGTGTGCTGAGAGCTGATTTAATTGCGGATGGCATCAGCGCCCGGCAGTTGCGGTATTCAGGATTGTGTGAGGCCTTGGACTACATGTCGCAACCACTGGGTGCAGATGGCATCCGCAATTAAATCAGCTCTCTTGGCGCCCAGCGGTTGCGACATGCAATTAAAATTATTAGTGCCCCCCCAGATTTGACTGTGGTATCTTATGTGCCCCCCCACATATTGTTCCTAGAGTCGCCACTGAAGGAGAGGCTGATGTGTACGCCATTAACTTGCTGTTTTCGGCGAGCCGCAGCCAAACTAGTACAGGTGAAACTCGAATAATTAGAATATCGTGCAAAAGTAATTGCAGTAAGTGCTGCAAAAGGGGCCCAAACCAAGTACTGAGTACATATGCATGCTTGTACTTTTCAGAGGTCCAATATTGTTCTATGTACAATCCTTGTTTTATTGATTGCATGTAATAATCTACTTTTTTGAGGTTGTGGATTTGGGGTTCTTGGGGTTTTCATGAGCTGTAAGCCATAATCATCACAATTATGACAAATCACGGCTTGAATTATCTTGCTTTGCATGTAATGAGTCTATCTCATATATTAGTTTCACCTTTTTAAGTTGCATTAGTGAAATAAATGAACTTTGCACGATATTCTAATTATTCGAGTTTCACCTGTAGATGCGGCTGTCTTAAAGTGGCGGGGGGAGTATCCCCCGCCTCCTGGGTCAAACAGACACTGCCTTCGCCACTTTAACACAGCTGCATCTACTAGTTTGGCTGTGGCGCGGCCAAAAAGAGATCGGAGATAGCGTGGGAGGAGGGGGGTTTGTCACGCTGTGGTGGTTGTGTACAGACAGAGAGCAGACTTCAGCATTACTGCCTGTTCTATGACTGCCAGAAGCTCAAACATTCGGTCTACTCCTGCCTATTGCTCTGAGGACTGAAAAGAGACTTGCTGATCATTTCACCCATGCTGAACTCCATAGCTCAGTTTTAATATGTTTATGGAAGCATAGTTTATCAACACATATAACCACCTAACTTATATAGTTATATAATACCAACAACAGATAAAAAATCTGCCCCTGGTGAGACCTCCGCATCTGCCCCTGGTGAGACCTCCGCATCTGCCCCTGGTGAGACCCTCTACATCTGCCATTGCTGAGACCCTCCGCATTGGCACCTGGTGGGACCCTCCGCATCTGCTGCACCCACCTGCTGGACCTGCTAAAGGTGAGCATGTGTGCTGGCATGGAAGGAGCTGCCCAGTAATGCGTGTGTGCGGGTGACATCCTACAGGGATCAGACTGTGTGTGATGGCTGATCCCGGAGATGTTGCTGTGTATGTGTCATTCTAACTGCCCAGTCTGCCGTACATTGGATCTGGTCTGAGGTCTGTCTTGTACTGGTTCTAATCTGAGGTCTGCCGTGTATTGGATCTGGTCTGAAGTCTGCCATGTATTGGTTCCGGCCTGAGTTCTGCCATGTATTGGTTCTGGTCTGAAGTGTGCTGTGTATTGGTTCTGGCCTGAGGTCTGCCATGTATTCTGCCATTTAACTCGCTTTCCAAATTGCCTATATTGGTCTAGATTTTGAAATTCTCCTACCAGTTCCCCGGCAATTCATCTCTTAGTGAATTGGCCCACTATTTGAAAAATAATGTGGAGAAACAATCTCTATGACACAAGAATGTCTATGCAGGTGGGGAGTGTGGGAGGGGCTTGTATATGGGTGGCGCTCAAGGGGGCCCCATAATCTTGTATTGCCCGGGGGCCCCATGTGTTGTCAGTCCGCACCTGGCTTGGGTACTGCAACACCTTAGAACTCATACGATGTCCATACGTAACAATGCTCCTCTTTAGGACTCCCAGTAGATGTTTGCACTCATGGCAAATCAAGCTTTGAGTTACTTTCACAACAATCCAATGCTGATAAGTAGTAGCATAGCTACATGCTATTCCAGGATTCTTCTCCACCTTGTGGCTGATGGCATAATCAAAAGAATGAGGTAGGATATTTTGAGAATGGTGTCAATCACATTGTAAGTCCAACAGTAGATAATTAACAACATTGCCCAGAAAGACTTTGAAGCTTTCCTGCTGAAGTGAATCTGTTTTACATAGTTAATGTGACCTAAAACAAAGAAAAACACAAAAGTATCTTAGTAAATGTAGAGAGTAGTGTCGTTCTTATAATGTGTTACTCAGCTATCACCTGAACTGCCTACAGTATTCTTGACCCAAGTAAAAACTAACGCTTAATGTACTAATATTTATATAACTTCATTATATTACTTGGTGTAGTACAGGTGTAGGATGAATAACAATTACTCCATGCAGTCTTAAAAATTACATCTTATGATTAATTCAGAAGTAAAAAAAAAAAAATGGAGATGCGTCATCGTGTTGTCACTGATACTAGGGGATTGCTGGCTTTCTATAGTGAAAAGACTTGTTAACAGAAGCACAGCAGAAGTAATTTCCAGAACAAAAAAGAAACAGACAAGAATATGCTATATTGTCAGTTACAAATTTTTGTCAGGTCATAAATGGCTATCACCAGTAGTGATGAGCCGAACACCCCCGTGTTCGGTACGTATTTGAACGGCCGAAAAGTTCGAATACAAACTCGAACTCAATGGAGGTCAAACATTCGAAAAGGAATGTCCCCTTTAAGAGGGCATATATGCTAGTTATTGGCCATAAAAGGTGTATGGGGGTCCAGGTACTGCCCTGGGGGACATGAATCAATGCCAAAAAAAAAAATGTTTTTTTCTCTTAAAGTGTGCAGTTCCCCCTCCCAAACAATACCAGTCTGGTAGAAATGTTAGGAAGGACCACTTTAAAAAAAAACAAAAACTGTGTAGGGTTCCTCCTAAAAGTCATACCAGGCTCCCCTTAAGATCTGGTAGGAATATTTAGGAGGGACCCCATGTAACAAAAAAAAAAAACTTGTTTATGGTTCCCCCTAAAAGTCATACCCGGCCCTTAAGGTCTGGTAGGAATATTTAGGAGGGACCCCATGTAACAAAAAAAAGTGTGCGGGGTTCCCCCTTAAAGTCATACCAGGCCCTTAAGGTCTGGTAGGAATTTTGAGGAACCCCACCCCCAAAAATGGGGTGTCCCCGTGCCGATGGGGACAAGGGCCTCGTCCCCACAACCCTGGCCCGGTGGTTGTGGAGTCTGCGGGCAAGGGGGCTTATTTCCATCAGGGGTACCCCTTTAATTAAGTGATTTTAAAATCACTTGCCGCACACCCAGATGCCGCGACCCCTCCCTTGTGAATGAGTAAGGGGTACTTGTACCCCTACCCATTCACTAAAGGGTTAAATAAAATAGTTATTAAAAAGTCCAGACTTTTGATAAAATCCTTTATTTGGAAAAAAAAAACAAAAGACATGTTTTCGACAAGTCTTTAATTTTGACAGATGCCGGCAAAACATACACAATTGGGCGGAGCTAGCGTTGACAGCTAGCTCCGTCCAATTGTGTAGTTTACCGACATCCGATAGGCAGGCCATGATTGGGCAGAGTCATCATCTAATTCAATACTGAGCCCTGATTGGGCAAAGTATTGCACCTGACCTGTGGTTTGACAAATCAGAGCTTCAGAGGCCATTTTGCCTTATGGCATGTCCGCGGTCGAATATACTGCAGGTACTATAGGTCTGGCACTGGACAGTAAGGTAGACAAAGTTGGAACTGCTAGAGTCAGTACAGACAAACTCGAACAGATGCACCATTTTTAGCTAATGAGGGGCAGAAGCCTTAAATACAAACAGAACAGACACATAAAACAGTTGAAGTGGGGAAATCTCACCAGATTCATCAGACATACTGCATTAGTTGAAATAATATAATTTCAATATTGTTATAATTTCAATAATTTCAACAATTGTACAAATGCTTTTGCCAATATTCTTTATAATGTAACCCCATTAATGTAGGGGTTTGGTGGTGTCTAGTATAGCCTTTCTTAATCATTGTTCCATGGAACCCTATGGTTCCTCCTAAGCCTGCTAGGGGTTGCTTAAACAGAAAGCAATTGATCTCTCACCTACACTGATCACCAATTAGGTATAATTAATTTTAACAGGAGTTCCCCAAGACCTAAAAATGTGTTTCAGGGGTGAACAAAGTTGAGAATGTCTCATCCAGTATCTTATTCATGTTGAAAAGCAGTGATGAAAATCAACAACTGCTATAGTAACTATAATAATTAACAACAAAGCAGTGACTGATTGTTGAAAAAACCCCCAAAAACTTATGCATAACTACAGAACAAGTCTGCTTTGCAACATGAATTGCAGGAAGGAAAATACATTTACAAAGGGGCAAATTAAACAACATTCTCAAAGAATACAGGTCATACAATCAAACTGAAAACCCTTGTATTAAAAGGTGTATCTTGTATTAAAAGGGGTATAGACTCCAGAGATAGAGACATAATCCTGCCCCTGTACAAAGCATTAGTAAGACCTCATATGGAATATGCAGTTCAGTTTTGGGCACCAATTCACAAAAAGGATATTGTGCAACTGGAGAAAGTGCAGCGAAGGGCGATTAAACTCATAAGAAGCATGGAGGAACTCAGCTATGAGGAAAGATTAGCTGAACTGAATTTGTTCTCTCTGGAGAAGAGGCGATTAGGAGGGGGCATGATCACCATGTATACATACAAATATGGTTACTATAGTGAGCTTGGTGCCAAATGATTTACTTTAAGGTCACTGCAAAGGACAAGAGGGCACTATTTGCGTCTGGAGGAAAAGAGGTTTAACCTTTGCATACGGAAAGGATTTTTCTCAATCATATAGTTCAGTATATTTGGAATTTCCTAAATACTTAGTCATTTTAGGGTTGCAGTTTATACACAAACTATTCTTTTTTCTTTCAGCCAATGCCATGACCAGCAGGGCACTGACAAATTAACAATCTACCTTACTTGTACAGTTTACAATTTCTCATCACATTGAATTACAATTAACAAAACACAGACAAATCATTATTCTACTGATATTCAGTCAGTGTTATCAACATTTTTCTGATACAGCATTTTTGCAACATAATTACAGTTAACTTAGACAACACAAAACAAGCCATGGCTCTCACACATCTCAACACAGCAGACAACAAAACGAGTAGAATATCAATTTCCACACATATCCTATTTCAGCAGCTGTATGGATTGTACTTCCACTAATAAATCTGAATCTTTCCCATATAGGTCTCTTATCTTATGTAATATCTTTCTCACAAAACAATACACCTCTATAACGTTAACAATGCCTGCCTGCCCCTATAAGTCCTGAAAGTATTTGGGTAATACCTTTCATGTCCTTTTCAGGACTTAGGGTCCAATAGGGTCTAATTTACCTTCTAGTGGTAAAATCCTTGCATGCCTTGGTTGCATTTCGTAAAGGAATCAACCACTCCTGTTCTTAGTCCAGGAGGTGTTTTCAGTGGATCACACAGATCCCCAAATGGGGCGTACACGGTGGTACTAATTCCCCACCTCACACGGTAGTGACACTTCCTCAAGAATTAGTCAATTACTTGCCCCCACGGTCACAAAGACACGATATGCCTAGATAATTCCCCCACGGTCACAAAGACACAATTTACCTAGATAATAGCAGGAACCGTACATCTGGCCAAGGATCTATACCAGAATATACTATGCACCACACAACAAGGATCTAAAAGGCAAAATACATGGCAGCACATGCCATAAAAACAGCAATAAAATAAACCAGAATGTCACAGAGATTATAGAATCTGTGAGAAATAGTTTGGAAATCTGACAGCTCTGCTACCCTAGAAAGTCTTCCACTTATTATCAGTTTATGGAGACTGCTGTGAAATAGAGAAAATACAGTCTTCTGCTTATGGTGTGACTTTATGAAGAGCCACACAGAATAGAAAGGACGACAGATTTATATCTTTCAAACCTGGTGCTAGGTTAGTATCATATAATTCCTCGAGTCCGAGGATCCGATCCCTGACCTGCCCAGTTGCCCGGTAACAGGAACTGCAGAGATCCTACCTAACCACTCAATGCACTTGAAATAGGGCACTTCATTCAACAGAACTCATTCATACAAAGGCAAGGACAGTACTGAATAATAGACAGTTTGGAAATGAGAAACTTTTTGACAGTCAAGGTTCTTGGAAAAGGTTACTTCTCTACTACATCGACTTACAGAGACAAGCACAGCACAAGTGGGGAAATCACAGTAACCAGAATGGTAGCTTACCAGTGCCAGCAGAAGTGACTTCCCAGTTGTGATGCCCCGTTCTGTGTATTAACAATGTCTGTAAATGTAAAATGGCTGTTACATTTTCCCCCTCAACTCCAAAAAAGTTACAGCGAATACAACAAGCCTTTTTTTAAAATTGGTATTTAAATCGAATGTATAGTTTTTAACATGTTTAGATGTATAGTTTGATGTAAATAATGCTTTGTGTGTGTGTGGTTTTCTTGTTTTAGCTATAGTACCTGTTGTACGCAGTGATTGATGTAGAATGCAGTAATGTCTTACACCACATATGTTCAGGCATTTAGGTCAGACATTTAAAATAAAAATAGTACTTTCCAGAATAATTTTTTAAAGAAATCCTGCATACATGTTATTTATGCATCGTATTACATGGGAAGTCTGCCTGAATCTTAGAAGTTCAAATATGTGTTTTACTTTGATATAATCTTGAGGCGTAAATGTGGGAAAAAATATTTTGTGTTTGTAATTCCTCCAGGGAGAACCTTCCAAGTCGATTCAAGTTTAAGGAGTATTGTCCCATGGTGTTCAGAAATTTAAGAGAAAGGTTTGGGATCGATGATCAGGATTATCAGGTATATAATTAGCAAAGTTAATAACTGCTTATGGACACCACTTATAAGTATGCATTCTGTAAATGTGTAATTTTTGGTTTTTGCGTTCTCAGAACTCTTTGACCCGCAGTGCTCCTGTAAACAGCGAAAACCAGGGACGGTTTGGATCCCGATTCCTGACCACATTTGACCGGCGGTTCATTATAAAGACGATATCTGGTGAAGATGTGGCTGAGATGCACAATATTCTGAAGAAATACCACCAGGTAGCTGCTTTTGTTAATCTTTTTTTTTTTTCTGCAACCTTTTTCTTAAAATAAAAAAAAACTGTATCTGAAGCAAACAGTCTTTTCCAGACCAGCTTTACATTTTTAATATTTTAGCAAACTTTTTACACACTTACTTTGGTTATGAAGATGCTGAGATAAGCCATTTCAACTGGCTGTCAAGTGGGGACAACTGTCAGCTATAATCCCACTGTCAGTCTCATTATTGTTAAAAATAGAGACCAGTTTCTTGGCAGCACGGTAGTGTTTTATATTGTAGCCCCGATGATTGATTGCCAAAGAAAGGCTCATAGTCAGTTAAAGGGTTTTCTTGATCATACATTACAGGACACTGGCGTATTCAGAAATGACTGGGTAGTATGCATGTATCAGGTGACTGCATACTGGCAAAAGCTGTAAGGGCCTTCTTATGACTCCTCCCACTTCCAAAAATTTAAATGCAGATGTCTCATCTCTACTTAGGGAGATGTGTGTGGTATGATTACCTTATTTTCTGTGATTCTCCAATAAAGTTTTCTATGACAACATCTGTCCAAGGGGCATGGTGGCAATATGGCAGCTTCCGGATCAGTGTTCCACTGCAACAGCTTCAGGAATTGTACCCAGACCCCACTAAATGGAAGACACGGGGGGACAGCTTGTAATGTTGCTTAGGGCACTGGATCCTGCATTTGTGCCTACCTTGGCTTGTGGTGAAACAAGTTGGGTTAGCCAAAGGTCCAGGGCAGTGGCATATCTGCACTGGTGTGACCCCACCCCTGAAAACTGCTTTGGGGGTATTCTCAACCCAAGCGAGTGAAGCCAAGGGTCGGTGGAAATCCCCCACATCCCTTAATGGGATGTCAGGAGAGAGTCTTTGCCCCTACCCCACAACTCGCTCCCTGGTCTCTGCTCACAAGGCAGCTGCTGGCCTTTTAAAACACAGCTGCACTGTGCCTTTCTCCTTCTGTTTTATTTAGACTGCATTACCACAATCCTCCCCATGCTGTGCCAGTTCTCAGTTTAACGGAGTTGATGGGTTATTTAGTTGATTTGCACCACCAGCTGATCCTGAGCAGGAGTGGACATCGCCACGGGTTACTAAGGACAGACAGGGGTCCTCAGACTACACAACTGTCATATAGATGCTGGCCTTATTGATGCACCCAGCCAGCTGTGCCTGCGTAGTTCAGACAGCTGCACCCAGGAGACATAAATTATGATTTTGGGTATGCTTAAGAGTTGGAGGCTCTGGCTCTTACTTACTCAAATCAAGGCAGCTGGGACACATTGAGACAAGGCTAGGATCTGGACACATTGCATCCAGTGACATTCTTTGCAGGCTGAGCAAATAGAAGACAACTGAGTTCAGTGAGGGTGACCGTCGTTAACCCACAATTTGCATTGAGCATTGCAGCACCAGTCAACCACAACCGCTAACATAGCCGCCTTATAGTAAGTGCAGGGATCCGGGAAGTGCATACCACCCGCCATCTCCGATCTTGGCAGTATCTGACACTGAATCCAAGCACGCTTGTTAGCCCATAAGAAGGAAAGGAAGATCAACTTTAACTGCTTAAGGTAAGTCATGGGGATCGAAATTAGAAGAGTCTGGAGCAAGTACAGCAACTTGGGCAAGATCGTCATCTTCAAAATATGAACGCGGGGCGAGCCCAGGATCGCAAGTCTGCGGCCATGTGGCGTTGGAGAGGTAGAAAATTCAGGGTGAACACACTATGGGGATCAGACGGCAGCATCACCCCCAGATGGTGTTGGAGAGGTAGAAAATTCAGGGAGAACACTTCATGGGAATCAGACGGCAGCATCAACCGCAGATATTGAATATGAGAGACTGCCCACTTGAAAGGAAAAGACATGCTAAGATGGTGTAAATGGGAGTCTGGGATAGATACATTCTGGGCCTCAGATTTGGGAAAATTGATTTTAGAATCCGAAATCTACCCATAAACTGTCAGAGCCGACAGAAGGTTGGGGAGCACTATCTCTGGGCGTGTGACATAGAATAGAAGGTCATCGGCATATGCGGCAGTCTTGTGGTGTCCAGAGCCCGTCTCCAGTCCCGTGGTGTTGGGGGACATTTGTATCGTCCGTATTAGAAGTTCAAGGGTGAGTAGAAAGATAAAGAGGAGATAGGGGGCATCCCTGCCGAGTCCTGTTAGAGATAGAAAAAGTATCAGAATGAGCCTCATTGACCCTGACTACCGCTGACGGGTCCGAGTAGAGGGCCCCAATCCAAGTGCATATATTGGCCCCCAAGCCTACATAAGATAAAGTTTCTTGTAGGAAGTCCCAGTTCACATGATCAAAAGCCTTCTCCGCATCTACCGACAGCAGGAGAAGGGGTTTCAGCCCTGCGCCAAATGGATAACATTCAAAGTGTATATGGTGTTGGCTCTAGCCTCACGGCCTGGGATAAAAACCCACCTGGTCAGGGCTAATGAACTCCCCCAGGAACGGCAGGAGTCTGGAGGCCAAGATTCTAGTGACGATCTTGAGATCCACATTGAGAAGTGAGATAAGGCGATAGCTCGCACAGCTGGTAGGGTCTTTACCTTCTTTGGGAATCACTGTCATTTGGGCTCTCATGGTATCTCTAGGGGGAATGTGACATTCCAGAATTGAATTGAAGGCATGGAGGAAATGCGTATCCAATACATCACTAAAGCGCTTAAAGTAATTCAACGTAAACCTATCCGGGCCGGGAGCTTTACCAGGTTACATAGTTTTGAGGGCCTTCTCAAACTCCTCTCCAGTGATGGGATTTTCTAGCAGGGAACTATCCGAGTCCGACATGCGTTTCATACCTGGGGCACTTAAAAACTCGCAAATCTTGCGGATTCGGGATTCGGGCAACCTCTTCCGAATGTAGATTGTACAGTTTTAGATAGATAACGGGAGGCCATAGCGGTGGAGTCCAATAATAGCTTCCCATGGCATGGATGGAGGGGGATATATGTGCAGGCCCGGACATCACGTAGGGTGTTGGCTAACATCCTACCCGGTTTATTACTGAATTTATAGAATGACCTGCGTGATCTCGGTAGCTGGGCTTTCACCCTATCTAACAAAAGTGCACTAAGTTCAGATCTAGTTTTGGCAATAGCAGCCCCAACATCCCCATCAAAAGATTGCTTATGACGTATTTCCAGGTCTCTAACCCGGTGCACAGGTCCTCGACCAGTTTGGTACGTTGGCGTTTGCGAAAGGAGCCCATCCTAACGAGTACCCCCTGATAACACATTTATGTGCTCTCCATAGAGACAATGGGTTTTGAGTGGGGGACCCATTTTCAGAAAAAAAACACCGGAGCGCCACCCGCAGCTTGGCCTCCAGAGCAGGATCCTGCATAATGGACTAATTGAGCCGCCAAGTAGACGGAGGCTTGGAGTCAGGTCATTAGGTCCAAATATATGGGAGAGTGATCAGAGTGCACCGTAGTGTCAATCAAATCCGAAGAAACCCGAGACGAGCACGTGAGGAATCAAAAAGAAATCAATCCGTGAGTAAGATTTGTGGGATTGTGGGAAAATGTGTATAATCCCTATCAACTGGATGGTGGATGCGCCAAGGATCTATCAGTTGAAGGTTAAACATCGACTTCTTGATACGCTTACGCTGAGCTTGAGAAATACCCCTAGCAGAGTCAAGATGTGGGTCAAGGACCAGTTTGAAAACCAGGTATTCAGGGAAGTAACACGGAGCACAGGACTGTGTAGCTGCGTAACAAGAGCCGACTAGAGAGCAGGACACATTCCGCAGGAGAAATGCTAACTTCTCAGTGGGATACCACCAGAAGGCTTGGACAACATGGATAGAACCATGTAGACACGGGCGGGGGGGGGGGGGGGGGGAAGAAAAAAAAATCAAGAC